TTCTAAGTGATTACCTTTATGAGTTAGTGAACTCGAAGGAGTGCGAGTGAAATGTTGACCCAAAGCTTGAAGGTTGGAGAAAAATTGATATAATTGTTCCAATTGTTCAGAGTTAAATGTACCTAAAACACAATTATTTTCCTTAGAATTTTCAGCTGAGTTAATTGATACTTGATAGCCTCGATTTATAGTACTTTGTCTTGGTTTCCAATCGGTGGGCTTTTCATGTTTATCTCAACAAGTATCTTCCTCGTGTCTTGGTTTACGATAGTATCTGCACTAAGGTCTTCCTCTTTGTTTTGGTCTTTTTGAAAGATTTATTCCAAGCTCAATATGTCCGGTTTCACTTGACCCGTTATAGAATTTTTTCTGGCCATCCATTCGTTCCATTAGTGCTTGACACGTTAGGCCCAATACTTACAAGCCCAGTATTCTTCTTCAATCTAGTAGGCCCGTAACCAGAAGACCCATGCTAATTTCCTTTCAACACCATCGCAAACGCTCCATCGCGATGTCAAAATCACTGATCTTCAACATGATTTTCCAACGAGTTTCTTCTCTTCTGAAAAAGCTTCTAAAGTAGATGGTAGGGGTTGCTGGCCTAAGATTCTCCCCCTTCATCCAGTTCGCAATTGAGACCCGCAAGAAATTCAAAGAGCCACTCATTTTCGACCATCTTCTTGTAGCGCACGCTGTCACCGGGGCAATCCCATTCCTCAACAAAGCTAAGGTCGAGTTCTTGCCACAAATAAGTCATCTCCAAGTAATAATCTGTAACCTCCCTTTTTCCCTGTTTGGTTTGCCATAGCCGGATTTTTATTTCGAAAAATTTGGGATGCATTTTCTCCATCGGAGTAGGTTCCTGTCACTGCTTCCCATACCTCCTTTGTTGTCGGCAGAAGTAGGGAAGTTTTACCTATGGATGGAATCATGGAATTTATGAGCCATGCTATTATCATGGCGTTCTCAAATTTCTACTTCTGAATAAGAGTGGTTTCAGTCGGCTGCTTGGTGTCACCGATGAGGTCACCCAGTTATCCTTTTTCTTCAATTATTAATTTGATAGATTGAGCCTATGCTTAAAAATTCCTTACGTTCAATTTTTTGATAGAGAGTTGAAAAGAAGGATTTTCGAAATTGTTGGAGCCCATCGAGGGGATAATTTCCGTCTCACTTTGAGAAGATTCAAAAAGTTGTAGAAACCTTACTGTTGGTAGTCATTGATTGCTATGTTGATTTGGAACCTAGCTCTTATACCATGAAGAGAAACATACACGCATGATTGTGTGAATTGATTATTGTTTATTTCTCTGTTCAACTATTTATATGCAATGAATGGAGGTAAAGATGGTAAATAATCTCCTAAATTAGGAAAGAGCTAATTACCCTACCAAACTAAGGAAAGTTTAATATGGTACATCAATCAACCTAATTGATCTTACCAAAAATCTGCACCTGTTGATTTTCCGAGCTTGAGGACTGTGAATGAGCACGATCGTAGTCTTCCGGTACCTGAAACAAAGGTAAATGAAGTGTGTTTTCGTCGCCCCTCCGATGCTTAAGTCGGAATGAGAATTTGTGCGCGAGGCTATATACTAGAAACAATGAAAAACGTACCTAGACAATGATCCAATGCTTTGTATTTTGAGGCAGGAAGCATACCCTAAGTAGGATTAGGTAGTGCCCTCCTGATGGGATAGCCCTATTGAACATCCTTATCCTTCAGTCCCGCCAAACTGAAGTGTTGGACTTGCACTACAACTGTAGGTCTAGTCATGACGTGGCGCGTAAGATAGAGTTCTCATAGGCGTTGTATGCTGACGTGTTTGGGTAGGACCAGGGTCTTAGGTATGTTGGAATTGGGTCAGCAATCAATTACCAGGGGGGCTCCAGATTCATCAAGAATTGGCAGGCTCGATGATGTGGGGGGTATATCCCGAGGATGGTTCAGTACATCCTCTCTCCTGACATGGTGCTCATGTTCGGGCATAAAGCCTCGAGGACTATGCTACCCCGACCACCATGGTGGTGAAAAGGGTGAAAAGAGCATCTTAGAATCCTCGGGATACATAGGTCGGGAATGGTAGAAATGTACATCTTCACTGATCATCCTAAATATGGTACATCAATCAATCTACAATTAAAACCAGATTTCTACAAATAGAAAAAATACACTCTAGTCTCTTTATTTCTTCTCTAAACCAATGAGAAATTTCTCAAAACTCATTATCAAGCACAAACTCCATATGTAGAAGATGAGATGAGAGACTCAAGGCTGTAAAGCTAAATTTTCTCTGCATTATAGGGCAAAGGTAAAATATTTTTCTTGTATTGTTATTGTATT